TGCATGCCTTTCACATTGAACAAGATTGCTGTTTTTGTGGAGCATGATTGCTCAGAGGTCAATTGCCTGGGTTTGTTTGTTTGTTTGAGTAAAGAGAAGCACATCGACACAAAATTTGAAGTGTTGTGAAAAGTAAGACAGACAGACAGAAACAACAGAGGGAAAGTAAAGAAGTAGGACCTACCAGTGGCGCCCTCCAACCACCCACAATTGCTTTGAGGGGAGGGGGGGAGGGGGGATAATTAATAGCTCTGAAACACCATAACAAAAGCATACAACCAGAGCAGTTAAACTGATAATATAAACATTCATTCTGAGGTTAAGGATTTTATAAAAAGTACGAAAAAACAACGCCATTCTCTCAAAAATTAATAACGTTTATTTTCTTACAACAAAAATCAATACAGTAAACAGGACATGTACTTCTATTTCTCTAGTTCTCTGTCCCAGTCTGCTTGACTCCATCTCTAACTTTCCTCTTTATAAAACTACACGGCTATTGAGAAAACTAACTCACCTACATACATACTTTCACTCAAAAGGAATGAAAAATATATATAATTATGCCCTTAGCATAAAAAACTCTTTGATGTCGATGGGGCTTTTGTACATCCTGAATTGACAATTAAATGACATGAAAACAAAAGTTATGACTGGAAAACTAATCATATAGTGATCATTTGAAGAGTTTCACGACAAAGCATGACATACCCATTTTTTTTTAAGTTTTGAGAAAATTTATCATTTCTGTTCTACATCCATTTTACTTAATAATTTTGAGCAGTTTTGTTTTAAGAGTAAACACGATGTAAAGCTTACTTACTATTCGTTGCATGATGAAATCTATGTTGGATTCTTATCCATGAAACTAAAGGGATCTCCACATATTTTTGACAAAATATGACATATACACATTTCAATAATAAGGAAGGGAATGAACCCCCAACAAACTTTCGTCTGCCACATGCCAAGTTCCATCACTTGAAGAAAGAACACGACTGATGTGGAGAGGGTATGTTGCGGTTTGTCAAAAAAGGTCAACCCCTTTAGTCACATTTTTTTTAAAGCGTCACTTTCTTCAGTTTAATTTTTTAAAAGAGAAAGTTCTGTTTAGTCAAAAAAGAAGTTGACTTTGGATTGTGCTCCGCCTTTCTAGATACAGCAATACTTGTTTCCGTCAAACTTTGGAAATGGTGTTTGTTGCGTTTTGTCGTCAAACTGTTCATTTCTCCATCAAAACCACATATAATGTCATTCACACAAGAACCATTTCAATTCAA